ATATTGAATCTGAATATTCATAAGCCATTAGGATAATCCAATCAATTTTGTTGATTGGATTATTCACGGCTGAGTAGTTGTGAATTAGTGACACGTGCCCTCATTATTTTATAAAAATATTGAATATCTATTTAAGTTCGTTTTCAAAATATTCCAAAAGTTTCCACTAAAATAGACAACGTGAAAAGAATGTAAACATTTTTCCTGTGTGCATATACGATGACTTTAAAAGAGTCCTGGGTGCACTTTGTATGTCCTGAGTGCACTCAGGAGGTCCTGGGCAGTGTTTAGACGTACCCGTTGATTTGCAACTGTATTTTTTCTGTTTTGGCACATACTTATATATGAACCTCATTAAATTCGATCTCAAAATAGCGAATATAAAGGAACAGATATTTTAAAGTCTTAATAAATTCCATTGAGCACAAAACTAATCCAAATTCGATTTCAATTATTTCGTGATTCTAAAATACGTTTTTTTTTGTGGCAGAAATTGCAATTATTTTTTTTTTTATCTGATATGACTTTGAAACACTGATTTAAGATTTATATTGTCCACAAAATATCATAAAATATAAGGGATAAAAAAGACGCTTTTCTATTATTTTTTTTACAATTGTTTAATTATGTCGTAATTTGCTTGGTCAGTGGCGGATTCAGGAGCCGACATATCGCTTCCCCTTTGATTGGATAATATATCATTTTTAGCATAATTAAAATCATCATTTTTTTTATCCTGGCTACACGTGGCGTTATTTCTCCGTCTGTATAACACAGCTAGTGAATTAGTCTAAATATCCATCCAATGCATAGTAATATTTCTTTTTCATCACTTTTTTTATTGTTAAATATAAGCGTTGTCTATTTCTATCTGACAAGCACACACATGGACTTTTTCATTAGTATAGAAAGTCCCTGGCCAACAATAGCAACAACGTCCTTTTGATGATCAATTCATTATAAAAAAAAACAACTAAACTCTCTAAACTAAACTATGTGGACAGTGGGTCATCGCACACAGGTTTGTTTAACAAGACAGCTGATTGGATAAATGTGATAGATTGTCACTCCTACATTAAACTGTTGTCCAATCAAATGCCAGCAGAAACCTGTCAATAAAAAGGTTATTGCAAGCGTGGATAAGTTAGAGATTTGATTGTGTATTCGATATTTGAACAAAAAGTTAGATAATCACTATTCGTTTAGAATTAAATTGCGAAGAAAGTGTTCGTGTAACAACCCTCCCCTTTTCCCGTTTTCGCCTTCTTATTTTTACACTTTCTTTTTTAACAGAAAAGTATTAAATATGAGCGTACTGCAAGTTTCTGAATTTTACAAGCATTCAATATAGCGACTTGTGATTTCCGGGAACGTCATATTTTCAAGATTTCACAGACCTAGAACATACAAGTTTCTTCTACCATTTGCAGAAAAAACAATACCAAATTATATTTGTAAATTGGAAGAGATTAAGAATTATAGTTTAATATCCGTACTTAAAATCGTCTGAAATATAACAAAACATATTTCTCTCTGCCTGAATGCAATCGAAAGCAAATTTTCATTTTATTCTTCATCTATTTGCAAAAGACGAAGAATTCTCCTTAAAACTGTAAATTACTAAACAGGCATACTAACTTTAAAGGATAAAATACAAGTTTGTACTACCATCCAAGGAAATAAGTGTTCCATAAAGTAACTAATCCTTAATTCACAACCGTCAAAACTCAGGACTCATTTTTGATATTTACCTGAGAGATCATAAAGGACATACATCTACCAAGAACTTATTATAACCAAAAAATGGCAAAAATGAAACAATATCTATTTTTTTTTTTGGTAGACGAGTAGCAAATTGAATAAGGAAATGTTATTGAAAGAGAATTAAGATATATGATAATTTTTCCAAGCAAAGTGGCAAAAACATGCATATATAGAGTTACGTAGGTGCAAAACAAAACTATATATTAATAGTCAATTTCGACTATTTAATAAAGGATTATAGGTCGAACACGACACACGATTCTTGATTTCCAATGTACATGATTTAAAACCGTGTTTTTTCTTCTACAGATTGCATTTTGAAGAACACATGCTTAGCCATGATCGTTGAATGTTCAGCGTACAATATTACATAATATTCAGGATGATTTCAACGAAAAGCAAACGAAAAAGATTTTTTTTTTAAATCCGAGCATTCCTTAAATTCAACATTTAAAACCGTTTTGTTTTACGCAAAACATATAAAATTGAGAATGACTGATGTACTTTTTATTCTCTCTAACACTTAGGATTGGTAGTCCCGACAGCTTTCTCTCAATTAGTAAGGGAGGTCCTGGGTAAGAGAGGTCCTATTCTTAACAGTAAGCGAACACTGAAAAGTCACAGGACAAAAAGTCACAGGACAGGAAGTGACAATTGTTTAAGTATGTAAGAGAAATATCTTGAAAAATTACTTTGTATTACATATATTCTTTTTACAGTTTATGAAATTGTTCATTAGCCTTGGTAAATGAAGATTTATTAAATTTTAATCATGCAAATGATATTATATTTCTTAGCACCATGAAGCTGTTTAGGTACCAATCCACTTTGATAGTCTGTTTACTAAACAATTATTTGTTCATTTAATACATTTGTTTACAGAGTTGGTTTATATATACAATAGTTCAAGATACATACAAAATATATTTTTTTAAATAAGTATTTTCTCTTTTTCAAAGAAAATAGTCTCAGAAACTGAATTGTGACCTTTCGTCTGTGACCTTTTGTCCACAAGCACGCATTATTTATGAGTAAAGTTGGAACAAAGGTCAATTTGGCTCTGATTCACAACAATTGTTCTCTTGTTAACATGACCTTTTTTGTCGACACGCGCTCGCCGTATCAGGCTAGAACAAACCAATGCATATCAATGTCACATGTGTCTTTTCCTCGACTGAATGTTATTAGCAATATTAATATTGGATACAATTGTAACGTAATGAATTGCATTTGATCCTAGTCCTAAGTTTAATTTTTGGTTGAATCAGTTGAACATCTAAGTGATCATCGATGTGTAATATTTGACACTGGACATTATTTTAGGAGCGATGCAATACAAATAATGTATTTCTATCAATCATTTACTTCAGTTAAAGACTTTTGAATGTAACAATATTGTACAAATCGATTTGATTTACTGAATTGCATATATCTTTTTATCGAAATGAAAATATTATAAACTGCTCCCGGTTAATATAAATAAGAAGATGTGGTATGTGTGCCAAATAATCATCTCCATCCAAGTTACAAAGTATAAAACAATTATAGATTAAAAATACGGCCTCAACACGGAGCTTTGGCTCACACCGAACAGCAAGCTATAAGGGTCCCCAAAATGACAAGTGTAAAACAATTCAAAATGGAAAAACAAAGGTATAATCTTTAAGTATGTAGTCATTTCGCTACGTTATTCTATAGCTTTTTGGTCAATTTCGAAAAAGCAAGTAAGCATCTCACTGTTTTTTAAATGAGAAGTAACGCTGGTGTTATAAAAAAAAATCTGATACGAAACAGAAATATAAACCGTACACAAGATTTTATCAATCGTTGTTTGATATTTTTCTATATGATTTATTCTTGTATTAGTTCTTGCTAAAAAAAACTTGATGATAAAAAAAAAATCAAGAGAGGTATCGAAATCGGTCTTTATAGGTACCTAATGGTAAATATAAACTGTCAACTAAATTCTTAAAATATTCTTTATTCTTGTTGCATTTTTTTTGAAAAAATAATGTTTTATTTGTCAATGTAATAATTTTACCCGGTAAATCCTTATATAAGATAAAACATGGAACTTTATTCATTTTACGTCCATAGATAAAACATCATAAGCGTTGCATGGGTAATTATTTAGATAGTTTATGACAACCCGTTTCGGTTGACTGCTTAGATAATCCGTTTATTGAAATGTAAATAACTTTCACCAAGCAACTGTCATCTGTATAATATTTAAAAATTTAAAGTAAATTAGATACTAAGAATATATTTTTCTTGACAAATTTTATATGGATCAGAACTATTATTTTACATTAGAAACAAAAAATGTATAAGAAAATTTCAGAACATCTTTGGGATATATTACTTATCATTATATCTTTACGGGCGGAATGAATAAATACAGGACTACTTTATGTCAGAAAGCACGTGACGACTGCAAAGTTTTAATGACTAACACATTTCCCGGTTAAGACAATTAATCTTTTCTTATATAACCAATTAAATGTTAAAAATTCTATCGGGAAAAAATGAATTGTACGTTTGCATACGTTATTTAATGAAATAGATATACAGTATTACATTAAAAGACCACAAAAGAATATCCTCCTAGCTATGCCGATTTTATTCATAAAGGGGAGTAACCCCTGATAAACACAGATAAAGTGTCGCTCGTTTTATTTAAAATATTTAAAATCTTAACACGACTGAACACGATCTTACAGCAACTAAACAGATTTTTTACCTTTGGTCTTATTTTATCTGAACGTGATCTAATCAAGTCTTATTTGAACGCTAGAAGAATCTGTCTTGTTTATCTTGACCCGACTGATCTGACTGAACACGATATATCGGAACAGAGTCTGAAAGTCTAAACCGGTCTTAACGTTTTTCCCTAGCAGTAAATCAAGGCGATTAAGACTTGATCAGACCAAAATGACCGTTTCGGACTTAAATCTTGCTACTGGTGTTCGTTAGTATGCACGACTTTTTATTTTGTTTATTGTTTATGCTTTATATTGTAGAACTAAAAAGAGTGCTAGTTTATGATATTCAGGTAACAGCGATCTTGGTAATACAATATAATATGTTATCAGTTCCACTTTTAACGAGTTTTATTTATATATATACTTACATTTATAGAACAAAAGTTATCCAAATTTTAGGTAAAATGTATCGCAGGTTACAGAAACACAATTGATCTTCATTTATGTAGCTTGAATAGCTCTTTTGTATTTTAGAATGAACACGATGTACTACAATAAAGCAGTTAGACTACTTGTAATTGCATTGTCTATAGACGTGGTTTTATTATGTTCAGACAACTGCACCTGTTCCACAAGTTGGCCATACATTGGACAAGTTAATGTAAATTGCAATTCTAAAGGATTGACTGTGATCCCAAGCAACTTCCAAAGTGACACATACTTCATGTAATATGTCTCTTATTTATCAGTCTTTAATCCTCAGTTATTATTTCAAAATATTTGATTACCTACAAAAAGATGAGCTTTTGTATGTTTATTTGTATTAAACAAGGCGAAAATTTTAAAACGACATGTCAAAAAAGAGAGTAAAACATGAAGGCATAACGAAACAAAATTATAAAGAGAAACAACCGTCGTCAGAACACATGGCATAAAAATCACCAAGAACTGGAATGAACTCACCACTCGGATCACAATGAAATATAGAATGTTAAAAAAGTAATAAGTAAAACCTTTTTTGCAAATTTTGTTGATTGTATTCGCATATTTCTTATTTGTACGAAGAATTTACTTGATATTTAAGAATTTTTGTTTTTATCGTGATGCAAACATATATGTAGTAAATAATACTAGGAGCCCAGAATTGAATGTAAATGATACTTCTATCAAAGTTTACTTATAAAAACGAAAGCAAACCTTTCTGAAATTTTTCACGCATATGGTCAAAAGATGAACATCTGTACACATTAGAACATTTAATTGATTTATTTATAACCGCTTGATTAGAAATACCAAGTAAAAATTTCTTAACTGGTACAGTTGAAGTTGAAAATAAACAAATGCTGTTGCTATAGGTCAGATTGAAATGTGATTTTTTTTTAATAACATGCTTTAACTTAATAAATAGTTCATGGCACTGAGGGCGATATCTCCAAAAAGATGTGTGTATCTTGGTAGATGACCGATTTGTCCATTATCTGTGTTTTGTTCCAAATTGTCAAGACTAATTTGAAATATATTTAGTTTTTTAAATACTTTTACCAAACTTAAAGACTTCCTTTGTACTGTATTTGAAATAAATATGCAATGAATCATAATTAAGTTCAGCGTGTTATCCAAGCGATAACAATAGATAAAATTGTGGAGTTATTGGATCCTTGTAAAATTCTATTACGCTAGAAAGGACACAAATGTACGAAAGCGTGTTCCAAATTTTCGAAAAATTAGCACTTATGTGTTTCACTTACTGTACCATCATTGAGAGCCATTTTTTAAATTGATAACTTATAACCCCACGACAAACAAGATTATAACATTTCAATTATATCATGTATATGCTTCAATCGTTTATTAAAGAAAAATAAATAAAATCATATATATCAATTTTGTATATATATATATTTGAAAGATCACAGCACTGATCAGGACCAAATCCCCAGCAAAGAAAATTCCGACATAAGATAAATTGATTCACCGTAATCACATAAACCGTTATCAAATCAAACACCTAGTAAAAAAAACGGTGAATCATAATCTCCTGTCAATATGCCCATCTACTTACTTTGTCCTTATTATATTCAAAGTCATGAAGTTATGTTATGTGGTTTCAGAGGAGCTGTATGACAAGAACATGGCTGTCAGACGGACGGACGGGTCACACACATGTTACCTTACGCTACTTTGTTTCGGAGAGTATAGTCATAAAAAAGGATAAATTAATTCCCACAAAATGTTAGTTTTCAAATCAATCTAAAACCAACCCATTAAAGTATTCACACAATAAGAGCAAATTGTACACCAGTGTCAGAGCGTTTGACATGTTCATGAATTAACTGTTACCGACCAATGAAAAGACATTATAACACGCTTACATCATAAATGCAAAACATGTTTTACTTGGACATTCGACATAAATCGATAGCTGCAACCACAGTCATGTCAAAGGTTAAATCTAGGTAGATGTTTCAACGCGTCATTAATCAATGAAAATAACTGAATGTACAAGCAAATTACGTGATATATTATGTTGCTTTTATGTATTTCAGAAATATGCGTTACGATTCCATTACCACTGTAGAAGACGGAGCTTTTCATAATAAGACATTATCATATTATGTGTAAGTATAAGCTGCTTATGTTTTTTCATAACATTTGGTTATTTATTAGGTCTTTCCACTTTTCTGTGGAAAGACCTATTGTATTTGTTCTGATTATTATTATTTTCTTCCGCCAAATTTTGTTTCGCAAGATGTCGCTTAGATATTTCTTATATAGTATCATACAGTTTATGCGCTTTTTATTTTCACCCATTCTTAGCTGAACAATTTTCTTTGTAGGAGTTATCTCCCCGAACACCGTTTTCCTTGTGACTGCATCTCCTCCGTAACCGTAAAAGAAAGCGACAAATTTATTTTATAAAATTGCTCGTTATATCCATTGCATGATTTGTCCTATTTTGACCGAAGTGATATGAATATTCCATATGAGAGTTATTTCCCCTTATGCATTTGATATAAGTGATTTGCATTTCTATCTTGTAAACCATAAGTGATAGAGACCTAGGATATTTTGATTTGAGGTCCTTGATCCAAAAATAAGAAAATTAGGTCAAGGTCAGAGGTCAAGGTCATTATTTTAATTTTGATTTTGGCTTATTGTCAATTCTTTTCAAAAACCGTATAAGATATTGACAACATCTTTTTACTAAATTGTAAGTTGCGACATGTCGTAACACATAAATTTTGGTTAAAAGGGTACGCTAACATTTAATTGGAGTTTTCTCCCCTCGTTTATTAAAAGTTAAGCATATAGTGATATAACTCATTAACCATATATAATTAAGACCTATAGTCTTGATTTGAAGCCCTTGGTTTATGACCTTGAAATTGAGCTCAAGGTAAAATTGACGTTCTAGATTTTGACCTTTGCTTTTACCTCATATGTATACATGATAAAGCCATGGGACTTTTTGCATTACGTGGCAAGCCACTTGACTATGGAAAAAACAACCGGAAGTGACCTGGTGTAAACCGGAAGTAGCTATTTTTTGTACTTATTTAATGTAAAAGTATATTGAACCATATATTTTTGGAATCAGTTTCAAGTAAACTATCAAATAAAACCGGAAGTGACATTTTTCAAACCGGAAGTAACAATTTATCTCCCTTATTTAGAAAAAAATGTATAGAAACCATATATTTTTGGAATCAGTGTACAATAAGCTATCATTTGACGCTGGATATGATATTTCAAACTGAATTTTCATAGTTCTATATCAAAATTGTTCTTTATGGGTGGAAAGACCTTCAATTGTTCTCTGAACAATTGGTTTTTAATTGTTTTAAATTTTTCTTTTAGTGCATAGAGAGAACACCAAAGGGCCAACTAAAATTCTCAGTAGACAAATGACTCCATCGCATAAAAAAACCCAACGCAAAGGTCCACAAAATTATAATAGCACTTTTGTGGGGATTTCGTTACGCTTTCTAGATTTATCTTCACCGGGAACTAGCTGAGCCCTTCGTATTGCAAGTAATAACCAGTAATGAACTGAAGTAATATTCAATAATGATCTGAAGTAATATCCAGTAATGAACTGAGTACAATGTATATATTGGACACATTTACATTACTGTCAACAAACTATATTTACAAATTGAAAACTTTTGATACACTACATACTTAATTCTTCAGGATTTGGAACGTACAAATAAAAAATTTAACATTGGGAAGTTGTCGTGATTTTTAAAATTGTAAAGTGCAGCTTTTATCCGGTCTTCACTGTCAACTTCTGTAATAAGTCAAGATATTCATCCAATCAAACTGTATCTGTAACAAAACATTGGATTTTATTTATTTATTTTCAAGAAAGTAAAGTTCCAAATCTCTCATACTTTATATGACTATGGCTATACGTTTTATGGTCCATTTGATAATATGGCTCCTAACTTTTTCACGTTGTTATACATCCCTATCTATCAAACGTTTTGGTGTGAGAGTTCCTGTTGCGTGTAAATCAAGAATCAAACAATCCATGCACTTTTGTCAAACGTAAGAGTCAATAAAAAACACGAAACCAAATCCTTGTTTTGTAAACCAGGATTATGTCAATGAACGTCTCGTCCTTTTTCGAAAAAAAGTTCATCGGAAGATACCAACACCTTGTTGATAAATATTCCGTATCAACTTCACAAATAATACATGATGGTCTTGAAGTATAGATTCTAGGTACTGACGTTGTTTATCATTTTAATTACGTATTATAGTGTTATTTTATTTGTCTTTTTAAATAATTATCTTAACTGTTTAGTGCATTTTTGGTAATACCCTTTTGGCGTGGCTGGGTACTTATACATCCCGTCATTGTGTTATTTTGCTATGGGGATTTTTTTTTTGTATTTTGTATTTCATTTTTGCTTATGTGTTTTGTCTATATGCCATTTTGTTTTTCTTTGTTGACATATTTGTTTGTTGTTATAGTGATTGAGATTATAAAACATTGTTGACTGCTGTATCCCTATTTTCGACATTTGTACCTTTTATGTCTGGTTGTTTTGTTCACACATTGCTGTCAATATAATAATATGTTATGTGACTGTGATACAAGTGAGAGGTGTAGCTACCTGTAAAACCAGGTTTAATCCACCATTTTCTACATAAGGAAATGCTTGTACCGAGTCAGGAATATATGACAGTTGTTTTAATTCCTTTGATATGCTTGAGCTTTTGATTTTGCCATTGATTAGGGACTTTCCGTTTTGAATTTTCTTGGAGTTCGGTATTTTTGTTATTTTACTTTTCATTGGTTGTACTTTTGAGTACTCGTCCCATTGCAGGGGGTTTAGTGTTTTAGCACAACTTATTATTATTTTTTTTTAATTGTGAAAATAATAACATAAACATTAAAATAAGACAGTTTAATAAGGATTGGAAAGCAAGTCAGTTTTCACTTTTACAAGTTCCTCTCCTATGTTTATAATAATAGATGGATGTCGTCAAAAATAATGTATTTTACCGATAGTACGTGTTGACCAATTTTGCTACTGTGTCGTACCACAAATGTGATATATTATTATGAATATACGGTAATTTTTTTTATACATAGTTATATCTCAACGCATGTATATAAACTTCACATGAATCTTTGTTTTAAGAATAAAATTTTGAATAGTAAGAAAGTTATCAGTATTTGTAATATCGGATATCAAAGGATTACCATACAATAATTATAGATTATCGTTGGTCATCTCAACGAGATTGATTTTTCTCGCTTGAGCCGGCGAAAGTGAGAAAAACAATCGAGTTGGGATGACCAATGATAATCTGTTTATCGCTATTTTACCTATGACGACGTTGTTAATTTCATTGACAACGGCACGTGCGCCCTTAGTTTCTAGCTATAATTTTTCATATCACTCTTCTGTGCTGAGAAAGGAATTTATCAGTCAGTAAGATCAAAGGAAAATTTCGTAAAATAGCGATAAGTTATGAATATTCGGCTGATATGACAATTGAATCAGCATAGTCTCTCGTAATTGATATTCCGGATATGACAATAAAGATGTTTCTATCCGTCTACATTTACAGAGAAGATCAGTAACTAGATTTTTTCCATACAAATGTTCATTCAGACCACTGCTCTCCATTCTGATTCTAGTATGTAAAATTTGTCCAAGTCTTCTACCACTGTAAAAATATTTAATAGCTGCAACTTTGAAAAAGATATATGCTAATTTTCAATCGACCCAGCATCATTTAAAGCAAATATTAGACTCAATATACTTATTCTTTAAAAAAACGAGTTTTGTTCGTTTTCCCTTCAGATATTCACCACATAGCTGAAAAATAAAAAAGGCTAAACATTATTAGAGAAATTAGTTATAATTGTACATTTGTATATTATCTTTGGTGCACCAAAACAGTCAAATAGAATCAATAGTCTACATAACATGTTATTTTCATAAGGTTAGATAATGTCATTTTAATTTTGTTTTTTCAAGAGGTTTGAATGCATTTGCCAGGAATTACACTTATGCAAATAACATCAACATGATCAACTTAGACAGTCTGTAAGTATAAAGTTTATATTAACCGATTTATTACCATATCCTTAACAGCTAAATGTTTTATGTGGTATTCTACAATTTTATATTCATATTTCTATTGCCGTTTTTAATAATGGTATTGATGAATTCTGCTCAATTTTAGACGAATTATTTGCTTGTGAAATAATGTAAGAATTTAGCTCAATTTAAGACGAATTATTTGCTTGTGAAATTATGTCAGATTCTATATCAAAAGTAATACTTCAGAACAGGTCTTGTTCATTCTGGGCGGTCTTGGTAGAAATCGTGCGAGGGAGACTGGTTTCAAAGTTAAATCCATCCTGATTTTACTTTAGAAGCTCATATGTGTAAAATATACTTTTTGGAAATCAATAAAACAGTCCTCCGACCAACTCTTATTTAAAGGTGAAGTTCACTTTGATTAAAGTTCTAGGACCTATAGGAGCAGTTATCAAATATATTGCAAGTTAACATTGACCAATTAAAAAGTTGATTGTTTTACAAGATATAACCTGTGACTGTATGCATCTGTTTTTTTTTCTGTTTTTGGAATAGCCCAAGGGTGTGAAACGGAAAGTAATCTATGAAACTCATCTTCCAAGATATTAATAAGTCAGTTAAGCAGTGTATGAATAGATAATTCGTTCATGACATGTTAAAGAGACTTGTCTTTTGTTAAAAACCAAGTGTTCCCCTTGGATGATCTATATTAGGAAGATGATATATGTGGTTAACTGTCTCGCAGACAAACAGTCCAAAAAGCATGCCATTGATATAGTGTTGATACGTCATTTAAATATAAGCAAAGTATTCTTAGGAACTTTTACATGTCGTTATTTGTAATTTCAAGCGTGTTAAATTCAGTCAGATGATCGTTATAACTTTGTTTCATGTTATTGTGTGCTAGTATATCCTGGTGCTAGCACTAGTGAATTTAAACTCGCATTGTATTTGATTGGTGGATTTTGAGTTTTATTACCTTCAGTTGTTGAAGTCAACCAAAATAAGCCCTACCATAAGACATGATTGATACAGTAATAGTTGTAATCTTATACTTAAATATTTCTATTTATTTAATGCTAATGCATATATTACCTTTTTGCTTTTGAATTTAAAAATATAACGGTTATGTCATACTCTTATTTTTTGTGTTACTATTGGATGTGATTCTTTATGTTTTGTGTTCTTATAATTCCGTTTTTTAGTTATAATATTTGTCTGTTTTGTAGTTGTAAAGTGAAATAGTTAAACATCGGTTCAACACCGATTTTTTTATAGGCTCAACCATATGCGTATGTTTTTACCAAAACATTAAGGATACTCTGTGTTTATATAAATAGAGTAATTTTGTTTCCTTTTATTTTTTCAGATTTTGATTGCACTATGCTATAAGTCCACGCATTATATTCACTGGCATATATCATGAATATTGTTTCCAGAAACGCAATCACTCATTATGCTCATTACCTGATAGCACAAATATCTGGTTCTCACAAAAAACACACCTTAACGATATACGCAAGACAAAGGACCTGTTCATACACAGCTGTTTCTTTGTTCGGATTTTAAGTTACCTTTAGTATTATTTGTTTTGTTTTATAAGCTCTTAACTTTCTTTATTAGGTTAAGAACGTTCACCTTTTTCATACTCGATCATCACTTGTCGAAATACGATCCTGATGCAGTAACATTGCTACAAGAAATGCTATTCTGTATAACCGATAGCATTTCCTTGAATATGTTTGTGTGTTTCATAGGTTTGTTTTCATATTACTGTCTTTGTTCATAAACTTTACCCCTCGTTTGGTCCTTTTTCAAACAGCCTTATCGTATTAACTAAATTACTAGATTTAAAAAAAAACATAAACAATAATTAATTCTTTTTATTATGAACAGATATCTTCGATCATTCTGTGATTGCAACAATCCCTTTTGGTCCTGGCTGAAATCAAAAGCGTTTACTATTGAGAGTGTAACCTGTTTTGATCGGGATAATGTTCTACTGTCAAGTCTTCAAGCAAGCGGTTTTGATAATTGTTTCTGTAAGTTTATTTTCAATTGGAAAGCCACGATAAATACACGTGTGTGAAAAGGAGTAATTCCTGATTTAATTTACTTTATACAATACTTATTGCAAATATAGAATATTCTGTGTAATGGAGGCGTACATTTGGCATGTAATTGCTAGCTAATGGCACACAATGGTACACAACGTGACTGTTTTCAACTGTAAAATCTTAGCTATTGGTAAATCGACAAGTTGAAAAACGGAAATTCAATTGTAAATTTACATATGTATCACTAGTAAACTAATTTTGAACTGCTCTTTACAGACTAAATAATAAATTATTAAGTCACTTGAAGTCTTTACGTCAATTTTCAACACGGTAAATCTGGTACTGTACATACAATTAGCTTGCAGCCAATTAAGATCTGTTCAGATCAGATGATTACGTATTTGTCATTTACCTGTTCTCATTAACAACATACTCATTTGTCTAAAAGCTACTTAATAGTAATGCGTTAGCCGCAAGCGAATTGTCTGAACAGTACTGAATTAACCGCAGTGAATAAGACTGAAAGACTGAGCATAACTACACATTTTTGTTCAGACTCTCAGCTGATGTTCAGATAGAAATGACTGTTCAAGAATAAAATCAATTTACTAGTGTGTTTAAAACAAAAATTTCAAACAATTATCAGATGAAATCTCATTCATTAAGAAGTCTGTAAGATGTTTTGAAAAAGAAAAGTCCTAAGTGTCAAGGTGACTCGTAGCTTTGTCTAAGTACATACATGCAATACATATGCCATTTAAATGAGACTTGTATAAAGAAAGAAAAAAAATATAGAGAACTCCAAAAAGTCGTTTACAATGGTAATTTAAAGAAATATGTTTACAAGGATTTCTCACATAAACTGGATTTGTAAATTCTTCAATTTCTGGTGTAAACCAGAACTAATATAAATATTTCAGAAACACTTGATAACGTTCCTTGTTTTTACGAACTCTTCAAAGATACAAAAGGGATTCCAAATTCTGTTTAAGATGGTTATGTACATGTGTGTCTTGATTTTATTCGTTGCATCCAATATTTGTTCTCTGTTGCATCATCTGATAGATTTTCAATTTTTGACATTGTTTACATTTTCGCTATATGTGATATACATGATAACCTAGTTTCCTCTTTGTTTATAGAGAGATGCTGGATAGTTTCAATATTAACAAAAGTGCTGTTTGATGTAATTGCATCACATAACTTTTGAATAAAATTTTATGTTATGTACAGTAAGCGTTAAAAGTATAAGTTGGATAAGGCCGCCTTTATTATCATCTGAGCTTCAGTGAAAAATGATTAGATGAATCAACATGTAATTAAGGATTTCACACATTCTTTACTTGTCACAAAATAATTAACTGAGTTTTCAGGCAGTCCTGAATAAAACAACCAGACAGTCTTTTTCCCGGGTGAACGAATCATTTGTTTATCCCTTTGAAAGTTCTTTTTTGGATATTTGTTTAGTGTGCAAACGATTTTTTTATTTGATATTAGCCGTCTCAAGGAGCAAAGTAAGCATACTGTAAGCATGGGTAGTGCCAGTTCTCAAGATGAACATTAAAAAAATTATGATTGTTTGACTAAAGCTGGTCCAGTGCTTAACATGGCACGCATAGAGATTTGTTTTTGAAGAAACACAGTGTTCTTCGTATTATGCTTCGAGCACTTGTCAATGCTCTATTTCAAAAGGCTCGCTTTTCCATTACATTCAAATTGTTTGATGTTTCATTTCATACTCAATGAGTTCTGTTTCTGTTTGATGCATACTATTAACTGTTATTTATGGAACAATTTAAAGTTATTTGAAGGCATAGTACTACACCTATACTTTGTCGTTGTGACAGTCCCGCGATAGATGCTTGGTTATTGTGAATTTAATGTCTGATTTTTTTAAATGTGTTTTTTAATAATTATATTATTCAAATACAAAGCAACCAACACACGTAACACCAATTTTTTATAAATTTTTATCTTCTTTTTTTTTTATTTAATGAAATACTAGAGTCTGGATATTTGCACAATAATAAATATATTGTCACATTAATTTGATCACTTTCTTTTTATTAAAACGTCAAGTAGTTTATTTTAATTGTGTAACTTATTCGGTCGTCCTGTATGTACTGCAGCCTAAAACTTGCAGTAAAATCAGCTTAGGAGGGGTCATCGCTCGTTCAATGCTTCGGGTTTTTCTTTTATATAAAAACGGCACATAAATAGCTTTTCGTGCTAAAAAGCAAACTCCAAAAGTATAGCTTCATTTGAGATTTGTTCATTAATAGTTAAAAATTGGTAAAGTTATTTTGGTACAAGATGTCAAATACAAAAACGTTAATGCTGGTAAAAAGAATTTGGTCGATAACTACATGTACCAAAAAGTGTGTGAAAACAGGCCTGTTAGATCAAATGTGTCAATTTCGATATGTTCATGATGTCACGGTAACATCACAACTGCATTTTTATAACTAACGTGTCCAAATTATATCACAATATAAATATTACCAATCTTTAGTTTCAGCCTTCATAAAAGAAGTATGCTTCCTGTGATCGATTTAAATGTAAATTTGACAGATAAAGTTTTTTTCTCTATTTTGTACTCAATTCAAAGGTCAAGTTTCAGTATTCACGTGTTGAATATCGAACAAAAACACAAAACAAATACCCTATAACTGTAATCATAGTAACTATAACGCAATTGGCATAGGTACACTTAATGCAAAGAGTTTATAGAGATATAATACATTACAATAGCATTTTTAAGTGTAAGATAAATGTTTTTTTCGCTATTCACAGACAATACCTGTCATCCTGATTACTGTTCAAATGGTGGAATTTGTAGTCAGGACAACTATGGCGATTTAATATGCTCGTGTGTTAATGACTGGAACGATGCTTTATGTACAGGTTAGAGATACAATTAAAAGTGTATGTGAATTGTTCACGAGATAAACTTCATATTTTTCGGAAAAATATACCATGTTCCTATCGCATGGACTACTAGCGGATTTTATTTTTGTACTACGTCCATGTCAAAAGACTGAACTTTTTAAACGTGTGTTCATTGAATAAATACAGAGCAAGCTCTTAAAATCATAAAAACTAATTTTAAAGTTGCATGGCAGTATTTGAATGCACGGTAAATAAAAAAATATTAATATTTTTTTAGATTATTGGCTTATACATAAACAATAACGTAGTCATTCTTTTGAGACTAATCGTTGATGTTTATTTTAATTTATCTGTATAACTATAACTTTTTTTCATCTGACGTTTAACTAACCGATTAAATGTACAATGGGTTTTACGTTAACGGTACCCAAAGTTTACCGGTAGAGAAAGTAAAAAATATCGTTGTAGAATTCAAAAGCTTGAGAGCTATTAGTTTTTTTAGAATCTAGTACAACTTTGAATTTACATTATATTTCGTTACATAAATATGTTTAAGGGTTAGCCTTGGCAAAATACAAACTATTGCATTATATTTAATTTATCTTTCAATGTTATCGTATATTTTAAAGGAACAATATCATGTTAATAGAAAAAAAAAGGAAATTGGGTATCCATCCATGAAACAAAATCAATTCATGCACAGCAAAAACACAAACAAAAAGCAAAGAAACAGCGCTTTTATTGCTGTGTTTCATCTCAAAGTCACAGTGAGGCCTCCAACACGAAGCAAAAACAACTCTCACCTCATTGCAAGTTAAAGACGGCCCTTAGCGATGACTTTAGCCGAATTCTTTGCAAAAATAATTTGGATACTCCATTTTGTGACACGTTAAAGTATTTCAATAAAAAAAATCAACGGATTTTTGGACACTCAGTGATACATCCTATATTCACCGTGCAATGAGAATGTTTTGTTACTGATACTGATACTTCTTATTCATGAATATCATAAACAATACTATAACTTTAAATGTTATGTTATGATCATTGTCTCTTGAGTTCAATATGGTGACCCTTTAAAGTAATAAATGTACATAAAAATAAATCTTTCTTATACCTGCATAGTTAATTCATTGTATGGTAATATTTTTACCATGGTAATTGTAACTTGTTTAGTATGCACATGTGCTGACTTTTGTATGACACGATTTGAAACATGAACAAAGCAACAAAAAATGGTAGAATTGTTTTGAAAAAGAGAAGTCCTTGATTCATTTCCCAGGAATCGATTTCGAAAATCTAGGAAAAAAATCAAAATCTCTTTTATGGTGTAATATAATAAGATCACCATCGTTTTTTGGGGGGGATTCGTGTTGCTCAGTCTTACGTTTTCTATATTGTATTTTGTAGACTGAGGTATGTCTTATGATCGTTTTTTTGTTTTTTTTGTCATGACATTTGCAGTTTGCCATCGACTGATAAGTTTGAATATAGCTTTGGTATCTTCTGTTTCTCTTTAAAAAGTTCTCATTTGTTGTTTTCTTATTATATAGTAGTATAAAGCTTTACATTGTATATTTTGTGTAGATTGCATTGTAATGATATACTCGTTTGCTAACCTTAACATATATATATATATATAGCTAGTCCCTTCAGTTTTAGTTGATGTTTTTATATGAATTAACAATAACTGTTATTAAATTTAGTCATATGTTTGTACTTATTTTACATGTTTAGAATAACAAATGTTATTTTATAGCGTTATTTCATTCAGGTAAATGTTGTTATAGATAAATTCCATCGTCAGTAAAGCTAATGCATATAACACAAGATTATTTATTTACTCTCAATGTTCAGATCTTGTATGCTATTTTTCTGTTACCATAACTAAATTTCCTCTTATATTTTACAGGTATGACCATGGCTGTGAATATTGGGATTACATAATAGCTCATTTACTAAATTTACTTGGAATTTAAAAAAAGAGCTTGAAACTAGTATGAGTCAATCAAAAACCATTCGACTAATACAATAAAAACATCCGGGTGCGGATTTTCTGGCTGTGTTGAAGACCCATTGGTGGGCTTGTGGTGTTTTCAGCTCTTTCGTCGAGTTATTGTATCTTTGACACATTACCCATTTCCATTTTCAATTTTATCAACATAACCTTAAGAAAAATTATGGGAAGCAAACATTAAGTCATCAAAATCTCTAACAGAAAATTGTAGATTGAGAAGAATGAATCTTATAAAAATCCAGAGATGAACGCATGCTCTCTGGACGAGAAAGCAGATCCAGTTGCACAAATGGCAACAATCTTATTACTCATTCCCAAGTAAAAATCGGTGATCAATCGTATTCAGTTATGTCGCAATAAAGGAACGCAGAATTGCAGCTGGTAATCTGTAACAAATATAATCCATAATGGTCAACCATATTTACCAAAAAGATTGACAATTATTTCGTAGAATTGTACAATAAGCTCAGTTGCATTCATTTTTAGATTATGTGTATCTTCAGTTATTTATCATGCTATGTGTAAGTGTTCTATGCTTTTACTTAAAATCTTCTTGTAACAGGTTTTATATATTCAGCAATTGAAAAACTCGTATTTAATTTGTCGTTACAGTTCGGGGTAAAAATCTATTTTAACACCACCATGTCACTTGTAAAGTAACATTGGGATTTTATTTGGACAATATTCTCTGAGTCATGTTTTCAGCAGAAAGATAGAACAATAAAATCGTAATGGAAAGGGAAAACTGTTTAAAGGTAAATATTTTATACAAGGGCATCTTTAAGTTCAAATAATATGTATGGAATCAAAACTAATACATACCTAGCTCGAATTGACCATAGTTCTCATGGGTTGTAGGATTTAGTAATTTGTAGGATTCATTTAATCACAAATCACATGCACGGTAGCGAAATATAGCATGAATTTTTTAGACTCGTTAAGAATTATTCCCAGCAAGTTTAATGATTAAGATAATGGTTTCACGTTCCCGGAGTTACATGACAGATCAACCATTGCCCACGGTTTTATAATATTGTAAATTAAAAGAACACTTAATAAATTGTATTTAAGCTGTTATGTTTGATTTTTTTTTTTTTTTAAATTTCAATTTGTTTTTTACCTTTTAAAAACTGTTACCAATCTGAAAATGAAATAAAAAAATAATACTTTTGCTACCAGTGTTTTGATTGATTGATTGATTGTTGGTTGCTTAACCTTCAGTGGCAAATATTTCATGCATATTCAGGACGACCAGTGTTTTGAAGATACAAGCGTATTCAAATTCGATTGCACTTTGTCAATTTTAATTTCTCACTATGTAGTTGAGTACATAAATAACATAAATCATTGAGGTTAATTTGATGCTTACGAATTGCGTGTCTGTTTAACCTACAGCCAACATTGTTGCGTTCTTATAAATTGTTTGCCCTTATTAATTATATATATATATCTTTTCAGTCACCTTCATACTCATGCTAGGCCGCAGTACAAATTTGTTAAAAGGTCGCATTCGGTAATGTCACTCTCAAGGAAAAGATAATTCGGTAGTGGTTTAGACATATAAAACATATATATTGTTCGTATTTGACAAAGATAATCTATAACCATCGACCACATTATGATGATATTCGAAATCTTTCCAAAATGAAGACTTTAACTTAACCGCTTGGAACCTTGAATGCAATAACTTTCTTCGTGGTAACCCTGTTTCAAGGTTACAATGATAGTAAAGCTAAAACTTTAATGAGTCGTTATGACATATAATCCTTTTCAGAAAATACATGGTCAGTTGGGAAAAAAAGGAACTGCTTTTCTAAGTGACTTAGGAAAGAATACATTTGAAATCTGAAAGATTTCCGACATGATTCGGTCCTTCCTCATTTTGACAACGGGAGTTCGAAGTCATTTTTAAACAAAAGTGCCCCAGAAACAATCATACATTAATGTATTGTGCCTACAATTAGAACAAAACTAGACCAACATTGAAAAGTCTATAGCAGAAACATTGATGAAATTGTTCGTCTAGTATTAAAAACATTAAGGAGAACGTATTTAGTTACAATTAGTTTTTGTTCAATATGTATTTATTATTCGCTATCCATTTCATTTGTTGATATATTGTTTTAAAAAAAGTAAAAATATGTTTGAGAAAAACTTAGAAAATACCCTAAAGTAACCAACCATAAAGTAAAGAAAAACGGAAAAAAGAAACAAAAACTAAAAGAAAAAGAAAAAAATTAAAGGAAAGAATAGAAAAATGAATAATTTAATCAAAGAGAAAAAAAATATTAAAAGAAACTTACTTAGGATTAGGCATCACTCGGGAAATAATTTGACTCCATGAAAATGAATCTAAACCTTTAACCGACTTCAAAGAAAATCTCAATAAAATTGCCAAAGCTAATGAAAGTTAAGACAGCAATTTTAAAACAATCCAGCGTGAATTTATGCCTGACAGTTAACCATATCACGGTAAAATAGAGGTTGTCGAGGAAAATTGCGCTGCTCTATTCAACAAATGTGCGAAAATAACCTGACCATCGAGGATTATCTGTGATTAAAAGCTGCTTTTGACTTGGAAAGAAGACTGGCGCGAATGGACGAGATAACGAACTGGAGCGTTCTATGCCAATTCTTGTAGAATTAATGATCGACAGAAGCGCGATGGTATCTGAAAGAATAGTTATAAAGTAAAGGGTACCACAATTTCAATTACGGATCAATATACAAAGTCGCTTGTTGATAATGGAAAATCCCTCATCTCGTTGCTAAAAAAAAGCCCGAGAGGCTTATGTTGATGCTTTGTTCATTCGTCATATATTAGTTATTGGAGGTGTAGTTTATTCAGGTGGGCCAAATGAAGTGACCTATGATAGTATTAAAAAGAGAAAATTTAAAATGAGTCTGAATATAATGAAAATGATTCCGTTGCCGGTAGTAAAATCTCTAGTGATATGATCATAGTATAGGATCCGTTGGAAATTTGAGGCAAAAATAAAAGATGACAAATTTAAAAAAAAATGAAAGTAGGCACTTTTGAGATTGAGTTTTATTAGAATGTTGGATAAATAATACATGTGATGTTGAATTTCATGAATTTAAACAATTGATGTGCACTTATGAGACTGAGTTTAAAAAATGTTCCACACAATACTACGTGTGATTTTGAAATTTATAAATGTATTTGTAAAGCAGTCCCACTGTCAAAAGAGAATAATAAACAAGGTTGCGGTCGTTTTGTAATGATTAAAACATTTATGCTTCATATGTGAAAATAATTAAAATATCGTATTTGACAAATTCGCTTGGTTGAAAATATATTAAGAACTAAATGGTACAAAAAATGACTACTAGTATATCATTTGTTATGTATATAAACCCCAATATAGTTCATCATGTTTCAAGATTCAAGATGTGGACTTATTTTTGAACTAAAATCACAGATCACCAACATGATCATGTACACAGCTGAATGCCCTTTTATTTATTTATTTTTTATTTTTATTTATTTTTTTTTTTATTTTATTTTAATACAAGAACTGCTAATTACAATAACTTTGTACAAAATAATTTATTTTTTACATGATAGAATTTAAGATAGGGTTGGTGAATAGTTTGCAGACGTTGCTAACGCAACTTTAACAGACCAATCCTGATCCTAGAACCAATGGATACCGAAACCAAAACTTATTAACCTGTGTAAAAGCCGCGGTATCCGAATTCTAAATAGCCGCCATGTAGGCAGTCTCGCCTATGATTTGCACATTTTGTTTACAATTACCAAAGTGTAGAATATATATATGTGTTGTATCAAATGTAGAATTACAAATTTGTTTGCGAAAATGTATTACTATAATGTCTCGAAAATGGGTAACGAAAATTCGTCTGTCCTCACACAATCTATGTATTGAAACATTTTGTTTTTATGGATTTAGTAGAAATAGTTGAATGTGTATTATGTGTTAATAAATGAAGTAGAGGATGAATTTCATTTTATTCTACATTGTCAAAAATATACTGATATATGAAAAAAGTTTATCAATAAAAATTATTGATCTTAACCTTCAACTTATAAGTTAGAACAAATACTTTCTGTTGAAAACACCAAGGAACTTTGTTATTTTGGAGAGTATTATCTTATGCGTATATCATAAATTATTATAAATGATATAAAGAAATACACATAATTTACGAAAACCTACGGTATGACAAGGCTGTGGATTGTAAAGTAGAAAGCTGATTGTCTAGTGTATATTCCAGGCGACAAAGTTATCTTTCAAGCTGTCTTATGCATGGATTAGAATCAAGGTATTGGTAAAAAAAATGTAAATGAACAAGAAACTTTAAGAAGATCACAAAACTCCATAGGTAAATTGAAAAGGAGCTTTGCAGCCGTATGTCTTAAAATTTAAATAAAATTTAGATATATCCGTCGATATGACATTTTACATAGACAAGTAATATTTGTAATATTGCATTAAAACATTTTTAATAGTAAGGTTAACTGATTATTTCGATTCTTTAAATAGTGTAATTCCGATTTGATATACCACAGATTTGGATTCATTGATTGTTGATCGTATAAAGGCCATTGGGAAATATTTCATGTATCCACGAACAAATTATTTGACAAATCATTATTTCAAAACACAATGGTTTGGTTATGCGATTGAAAAGAACGGCGTTAAATCCGGAAATTTGATCAAATTCAATAGGAACATACATTTTGTTTTTTAACAGAACATCATCTTTAACGAATGTACAATAGAAAGCCTCAGGACAAAATGTCACGGACAAGTGTTTACAATGCAGTCTTGAGATAAATTGATAAACAATCGACTCATTAAAAAGCTATACATATTTCTTGATTATGTGTACACAATGCATCATAGTAAACAAACGTTCATATTTTGATAACACAGAACCACCTATTATTTCGTACATATACAAAAAAAAACCAGCAAAAATTTAATTTTTAATTATACGTCAGTAACATCAGACGTCAATGTAGAAAATAATACTATTTTAACTTGAAACTGTGAATCGTCGAAGTTTAGATATGATCCCTATGGCCATGTTATTACGGGGGACCTCAATATCGTCCAGGACAGAGAGGTTAAAAGCTTTTTGAAAAAAGTCCTCCATCTAAAAAAGATTGGAAACTCCACACTAAAATTTACGACAAAAGGGACGAATTTTCGTTCCCTATTGTTAGTTTTCCTTTTCTGGATGGTGATGTTCCTTTGGCACCATCTTACGGTGTTTATATTTCACAACTCGTTCAGTATGCCCGTGTCTGTTGTGACGTTTTAGATTTTAATGAACGTAATAATTACTGGTAAATTATTAACTCAGGGATTTTGTTTCCACAAATTACTTAAAACATTTACTTAAAACCTTTACTAAATTCTTTCAAAGATATAAAGATTTGGTTTTGAAGTTTGGTTGTACCTGTAGAACAACTTAAGATGTTGTTTACCGTGCCCGGAAATTTAGAAACAATCCTGGTAAACTTTTCGATCCTTTAAATAAACTTATTCTAAAAAGTTACCAATTCAACACTGCAATTTGATCTTTGAATATTGTTTTTATTAGTATTAATTATTGATTTTGTTATCAATAAATTAAAAGCAAACTAATTATTTATTATTAAATACATGCACTTTCATGGATCTACAATATGTCGATACCTGTATCTTAACATTGCACAATGTCATGTTTTTCTCTGACTGTTAATGACGTCTTTACACTAAATCCATTGGATGTTGGATGTGCACTGTTTGATAATTTAATCTTAGATGCATGATTTTTTTTATAAGTTGTTTTCGGCTTTGAACTAGCTGTCAGTAACTGCGAGTACTCTCAGATCTGTACTTAGTGTCTTTTTGTTGTTGGGATATACAAGTACCCAACCACGTCCATTCTGTGTTTTTGTTATGTGTATTTCTATTTGTATCTATGTGTCGAGCTAAGCCTTTTACAACTGATTTTTATAGTTCGTTCTTATGTTGTACTGTTTCACCAGTGTCCCAGGTTAGAAGAGGGTTGGGATCCCACTAACATGTTTAACCCCGCCACATTCTGTATGTATGTGCCTGTCCAAATTCAGGAGCCTGTAATTCAGTGGTTGTCAGTTGTTGCTATGTAACATTTTTGTTTTTCGTTCATTTTTTTGGTACATGAATTAGGCCGTTAGTTTTCTCGTTTGAATTGTTTTACATTTGTCATTTCGGGGCCTTTTATAGCTAACTATGCGGTATGGGCTTTGCTCATTGTTGAAGGCCGTACGGTAACGTATAGTTGTTAATGTCTGTGTCATTTGGTCTCTTGTGAAGAGTTGTTTCATTGGCAATCATACCACATCTTCTCTTTTATAGTTATTGTAAAACGTAAAAAAATATTAGATTGTTTACATGTTTAACACAACAAGCTGTAAAAGGTTGCTTTTAAAGTGTTGGCTCGATGGTGCCCATAAAATATCCATACTTTGATTACAAGTTTATGACTATGCATCAAGAAAGGCCAATTTTCAGTCAGTTATAACAATGGTTTTATTGCCAGACGGGATACTGTATAAGTGAAGGGAATGTCTTATAAAATACCCAAGTCAATCATTGGTTAGTGTCAGGGGAATGTTGTCATGTTTTCATAGTGATAAGATTTAAATCTTTGTTTGTGGAAATATATGCACAAATATGTTATAGAAGCCTTGCATGCATGTTTAGTAATAGAACCCCTTATCAATTCGTACTGAAAATTCACATGATCGTTGTTGCTTACTTTGGCGTCATTTGGTCTCTGGAGGAGAGTTGTCTCGTTGGCTATCATTTCAAATTTTCTGATTTCTTTACGTAAATTGTTGAACATACTGATAACATTTGTAGTATGAAACGTTATAAGTTTTCAACCCTCTTCATACTTTATACATTCAGATAAAGAGTGTGTATCATATAAAAACTTCACAGAACATAGTATATACTGATTGTGTCGAGGAAATATTTTAGGGAGGGAGCAACCTTTCATTATTTTTTACGGTTACGGGTTTTTTAACATAGTATATCAAACCAACCAGAAAAACGTTGTGAACTGCAGGCGTTGTCTATTTTCGATGACCGTGACTCCTTTTCCACCAAACTGAAATGTTTAATAATTCTAATGTGTTGGTAGCACTACATCTGGGATTAGAAAAAAATATCCGTACCATCAAATTATAAAAGTGCAAGAATACAGTCACAGATAATACTTTTAACATTTCAGAAAGTTACATCTATAAATCAGAAATTGATACTATAGGTTATTGCATGAATATTGGTGAACATTCTCCCGAGACATTTTTTTCATATTGCACAACCTTTTAAATGTCATGTATTCGAAGCGTAAAACTGTTCACCAATATTAATGCAATAACCCTTTTATTGTATAGTACAGCTCTCAAAATATGCTTTAAAAATCTTTTTGTCCCGTATAACATCACTTATTTGAAGCTATGTATTGGCACTAATGCAATATGATATATCAATGCACTCTGACTTTTGGTTACATTCTTTATGGAATATGTTGTTGGTTGACAAGTAGAAGAGTTCGTTAGACTAAGTGATGAACATATACTTTCATAGCATTCCAACTGTTTTGATTCGACTACCATGGATGAGTCTTATATATAGGAAACGCGCGTTTAGCGTACCAAATGATAAGTCTGTTTTTTTTAATGAATTTTACAACCATTTAGTCGACATGGGTGCCACTTTTAGTGAACTGTCACCAGCCCAGTAGTCAGCACTTTTGTTTTAACATAAATTATCATAGATATGTTCACTTGTTCGTAAATTTATTGTTTATAAAATGTTGTATTAATCAAAACACCAAAAGATTGCCATTGTCGTATTTGGCACAACTTTTCTGAATTTCTGGTTTTTCATGCTATTCAACTTTGTAAATAATTTGGTCTCCAAACACCTTTTATTCGCCACTGATAAGTCTTTATGTAGACGAAACGCGCGTCTGGTACATCAAATTAAAAGCTGGAATCTTGATTTTTGGGTGCAAAATGCTGGTATCTTGATAATAAGCGATTCAAAAATGACAACGAATTTACTGCATTTTTATTTTACTAAATGACTAGCTTTCTATAAAACAATGTTTAATCGTCCATTTTTTCTTCTTCGAAAAATGCCTGTACATAGTTGTTTTTCATTCGTTTCGTTGGATGAAAGAGTGTAGAGTTAGATTTTGTCAGTTTTTATGGACTTTCCCTTTTCAATTTACCTTCGAGTTCGGTATTTTTGTTTATACTTTTTTTTAAAAATGGTTACCCTTATATAAATACATTTTACTTATGTCACTTGAGATAAAACGCGCTCAAATGTTACCATAACAATTGTGAAAATATAATAATTTTACGCGTAAATATATTTCACCGATTTATTTACGAATTTAAATCCGAGAGGCATTTAACACTGGAATATGTCAATCTGCATATTTTGGGGTTTTTTTTCGTAGTTTCCCATACTTCTTTATCAAATTATAATAATATTTTAGAATATAAGAAACAGAAAGTGACATGTGTCTAGACTTCTTATTATAAAGATAGAATATATTCTTTTGCGTCATGAATTTGATATAAACTTGATCTGTTTATATAAAATTTTAATAAAAACATGCATGTTTCCATTCATGATCACAATAATTAAATATGCTTATATACAAACTTTCAATGACTTCATTGAGTTTTTAAAAAAGTATATTAAACTACATAGGAAAACTTCCGTGCTATCCTTCACCGAGTTCTTTAGGTAGACCTTCTTAAAATGATTCGATATAGCGTTTAGCTAAAACTCTTTATAAATGTATAAAATTAGCATTATATGTTTTGACACGTTATCTAACAATATTTTTTATTCAAATTAATCACATTTAATTCAAACAAACCAAAACACTTTAATCTAAAAAATGTGCAATCAAAATGTCAATACAACAAAACAAACATCAAGTTTCAATTTATGTTTTTTTTTTTGGTTTCTTGTTTGTTTGAATGTATGACAGACTTTGGTCTGTATATATAGAAATATATAATGATGAAACCGTATCTCTCTTCGTGGTTTCGCCAATAATTAAATAGGCTTATATAATAACTTTTATGACATTCAAAAAGATAAAAACCTTAAAATTTAAAAAGGTATATTAAACCGCATAGGAAGAAATACCGTACTGTCCTAGTTAGGGGAGATTAAGTAAACTTAACCCAAATTATTATATATATAATGGTAAGGTAGAACTCTTTTAATGTTTGAAACTGGCTATAATTATAAAACATTAGTTCTGCTATGTTATATAATGATGATTATCATCAGAATTACTATTATCATTTTACAGAAAACAAGGAGCATACAATAGTTTTTTTTCCATACAGGGCATCAAATAAATTCATCTTATGGTTAAAAAAAAAGGGGGAGTGACTGCAAATTTGTAGATACGGATTGTAATTTCTGAAAACCTCAGATACATAAAACATGATATTTTTTATTAGGTTTGGATTAACAGGAACACTCTTTGTAATGCTTTATATCGAAGTGTTTGCTTTCTAATACCCCTATCCTACTAGGACCACGATCCCGCTTCGACCTCAGAAATTATGAAAAAAATTTGGAAGTCGTAGTAAAATCGCGGTAGTGTGGTTAAGTCGTAGTTAGGACGTGCCAAGTCTTCATGATTGTGGAGGTCAATGACCAACTTTGAACATGCTCAAAACATTCATAGTGCAGTCGTGGCTACAAACAAGTCGTAGAAGAAGCGTAGGAAGGTCTTAGTAAGGACGTAGCATCATCGGGATTGGCGTAGAAGCATCGTATTGGTAACGTGATGCAATTGGGGAAGCCAATAGAAAATAAATATCTGCGATCTCACTACTATTTCATTGCGACTATCCCGATTTCACAACGTCTTTATTACGCTTCTACTACGATATTTATACGATAATACTACGATGAGGAAGACAATAATATGCTGCTAATACACGCTTGTCGTTCTCAGTACGACCTAACTATTATAGCCATGATAATTGCACGACTTCATTTTGTTGGTACCTCTACTTTTAGCACCACGACATCTAAGTGTTTTTGATACCTTTGGCGGCATGTTTTCTAAAGGAAACTGGTGTGTTCAATGGAAAAGTCAAGATATTGATAGGAAGGAAGAGCGCAGTGACAACGGAATGGAAACGTAGTGGAGTCATGGTTCTGTCGTAGTAGACTCGTATTGAGATCGTAATGAAGGTCTTGGAAGAAGGGTTAAGCCGGGGTCACACATTCACGATTTTTACTGCCGTCCTTGATAGGACCATTCCCGATTAAAATTTATAAAAAAATGTCTGATCAAGATCCTGTGAATGGTGGCTGGAAATTTAAACTTTTATTAAAAAATGTAAAAACATTTCTTTAATCACGACAACAATTAATCAGATAGTGTTCAAGAAGCGTCCAAATTCAGCCGTTTCCATCCGCATTTGTCCCGATTATCCCGTTCTCAATCCGATTCTTATCCCATTTGTATCTTTCTCATGGTAAAAACGACCGAATCTGTCCCGACAGCGTCCCGATTCTGCCGAATGCAATCCGACAGAGATCAGACAATGACCAGACAGTAAATCGACGCTGACGGAAGATATCCGTTAGAAACCCGTTTCATGTGATAGTCCCGTCCTATTAAAAAGATCGCCATATTCGGGATGATTAGGTACTACCGGAACACAATCCTATCACAGTCTGCTGTACCGCATTACAAAAGGCTTTGTCTAGACTCCATCGCATCGAAGTCTGTAATTGTCGGTACTCCGACGTGGATATTGATGCCAAATTTCGTATTTATAACTGGACTGTTCCGGAACAAAGACGGTTCGCATTCGGCAAGATCTGGATACAATCTGCACTCAATCGTCAAAATTTCTCCAGATCATGCCCGTTCAACAGGACACCGTCCAGAAAACACAGAACTTTGTTACGATTTTGATCCGATACAGCAGAATCTGTCACGACATAGTCACGACTGTAATCCGACTAGACAAAATCGGCTGTTTCCCCGAATGTTACGGGACGCACCTAACTGTCGGGGTCGCTAAGCCGACCTCTCCGGACCATTCTCGATCCTTGGAAACTATGAAATATTGAATTTTCAAGCCGACTATACCACGATGTAACCGCGATCTTATTTTTTTATTATATATATATCGCAATGGGATCTTCATGGTCTTGGTCTACTGTGACGGGGGCTTACAATTAAAGAAAAAGTCGATTGTAAAAAACTGACAATTAAACAATATAGCTATGCTGACAGGATTTTTTTTTATTACGAACTAAAATAATGATTTTATCCTCCGACTCTCACGATTCTATGCAGACAGGAAAAAAGTATTAAATCTGAATATTGTGCAACGATACTGATAAAAGATAATTATATACGAATAAGATGAAATATTAAAAATTTAGCTGATATACCCAAATGAAATTAAAAACACAATTTTGTAGTTCCGATAGTCCCACATCAAAAGTTCAGATTGTCAAGCATTATTTAATTATGTTAACTGTTCTTAAATACACAATGTAATTGTTGTTTGTTTTACAATACCAAATTAAAAGTAATTATTGCATTTACATGCTAGCATTTGTATAAGTTTTATAAACGTAGATATGAATTGTTGAATACATCATCAGTCAAAATGCACTTTGGATTAAATAATATATCATCTAAAGGCAAATTGATACATTTTATTATAATTCTAAAGTCAAGTGCAATTTAAGTTTTAAACACATTGCCGCATTTTTTTTTTTCTTTTTCCTTCATTCAGGACGAGTACATGTTAATGGTAAATGAATATGAAACGTGTCCTAAACTAGACCGACACACTGTCCTTGGTTTTTTCACCTTGCTAGTTCACCAGTTACAGAGACAAAATGTAACCCTATACAGACAAAAAAAGTTTATCTCTAGGTCGACTTGTCTTTGATCCGAAGTTTTCCAGTCTTTGCGTTGACCATCTGTACAATCGACATAGCTGAACATTATTTTAATTTTTTTTATGATTTTTCAATTACTTCTAAATATATATTTGTTCAATTTTTCATTTTTTTTTCATCTTCTATGAAGTAAGAATACACATAGTTTTTGTATTATGTTGTCCTTAATTTTAACAGTAGTTAAACAAAATATCACAAAATAAAAATAAAATATGTAAACACCAAATGTTCGCCATGTTTATTATAAATTTTATAAGTTGCGTTGGTTAATTACCAGTAATTATCTGATGCACACTTACATAAATAAATTACTATAAAAAACAATAATCGATTGTCTAACATTTAAACTTCCAAATTGTCCTACAAACATCTGCCGGATTATCCCTCGTAATTTCTTCACTTTTTTACCTGTTATTTGAAAAAGTGGGACAAGACACTATTCATTCGTTCCCGGGTATTTGGTGTGCCTGTTGGAAAAACAAACAGGTAAGAAGTTTGTTTAATTTTATATAATTATACTTGAAAAATTAATTATAAGGATCTTTAAATAAGATAGTTAAGTAATACTTATTGAAGGTTTACCTAGAGTAAAACCCATTACCCATGATATTTTGTCGAACAAATATTAAAATTACGAGTACCAAGATTGGTATGCGACTTATTCTGTGTTTAAATGAACTTTTTAACACGTCTGTTCGAACGTAGATGAAAAAAGGAATGTGTCAAAACTATAAATAAGAATATAATTAGTATTATAATCTATTCTTCTGAAGAGCTCGTTAATATGATGCTACTAGTTAATGTAGGTATCGTACTAGGATTGTCCGGTCTCCGCTAAAGAAAATGGCTTCGTAGTTCGTTTGGGTTACAGTGACACCCTTAGGGTGACTGGTGTTAGAAATATAGTTCATCCAGTAGTATATATTTGAACATGGTTTATGAAAACGTCGACATATGCGAGCGGACAAGAATGTTAAATCTGATGTCACGATTGAAGAGTTTTCAGTCTTCTGCATGTTAACTGTAACAGCTTCATGGCATAATTTCTATCCCTACACAATATACATTTTATTCATATGTTCGCCCTTCATCCAGGACGAACCACTTTTCAGATTCTTCTTAAAAGAGAGGCAAAAGATACCAAAGGGACATTCAAACTCATAAGTCAAAAAAAAACTGAAAACGCCATGACTAAAAAAGAAAGACATACAGACAAACTACAGTACACAAAACAAAACATAGAAAACTACAGACTAAGCAACACGAATCCCACATAAAACTGGGGGTGATTTCAGGTGCTCCGGAAAGGTTAGCAGATCTTTCTCCACATGTGGCACCCGTTGTGTCTCTCATTTAAGTACAAACCCAGTGATAAGTCTTATTCGGGATTGTAGTTACGACAAGTATATCCGTCGTCATTGATTGCTTTTCTCAATTATATTATACAGCCCTCTTCAATTTTTAAGTTTTTTTCAATCAGACATAAGCAATTTATTTACATAAACAGGTTTTAACGCCAGTCTAGAATGAAAATGTCATCAAATGCAGCGTTCTTCATTGTGATGATACTTATATCCAGTTGTAATGGTAAGTTGCACTTAATAGTTTATAATTACTCTCTTCCCTTAAAAGTCGTGAGTTTCTTTCTTGATCAGAATGAATGGATGTTTACCCAGAGTTCTCGAAAAGTGGTGGTCCGAAGGTTTTTTACATCAAATGTTTTAATAGAGAGACGAAATTTCGGTATTTTACAATAGAAATAGTTTAGTTTAATGTCTAGCGGTAAATATCATGTGTAATTGCATGTTGTTAATACAAATCGTTATCAGTATCAGGAGCTGTGACATGCACAGAAGTAGGCTTAATCAAAAGAGTGTAAGCCCTAGAATCACAGTATCCATATCTATTTGCTGGACTTGGATACTTACCAGGTTTACATAAAGTACACGTAGATCCAAACAGTACCACTGTGGTACACCAACCAAGGAAGCTGCACGTTTCGCTTTAAGGTAGAAACAAGTTAGAACTTGACCGTATACTGAAACTAGGAGTAATTGTCAGACAGAAAGAACCTACCTCATGGGTCAATAGTATGGTGACCGAGGTTATATCAAATAGAGATGTAAGAATCTTCATCGACCCGAGGGACTTAAACAAAGCAATCAACCGAGAACACTACCTGTGGAGGAAGTAGTAGCGAATATTTCAAATACTAAAGTTTTTAGTAAAATTAATCATCAGGATTTTGTCATCTATAACTAGATGAAGGCAGCAGTAAGCTATCATAATACACCATTTCGTTTTGGAATTACGTCAATTCCGGAAATATTTAAAGAGACTGAAATCATGAACAGTATTGAAGGAGCAGAAGTAATCGTGGATGATATACTCATTTGGAGAGCTACAGTACAGATCCATGATGAGAGAACGAAAAAATGTTTTAGATAAGGTAAGACATTGCAATTCAAAACTAAGTAAATCAAAATGTCAATTGAGGAAAGATGAAGTTCATTATTTTGGCCACACAACAAGTAATCATGAGTTGAAACCAGACCCTGAAAATGTGTGTGCTGTTCAGAAAAAGAAAGGAAAACAAAAATAAGAAAAAAAATTAACATTTGTTGGTTTTGTAACTTATCTCAGAAAATTTCTTTCTAATTGAGAATACTGTCAGAAGAAAAAATTAAAGGTGCTGGGAAAAAGAACAAGACAATATTTTGATAAACTCAAAGACATGACCAGAAATGCGCCTATTCTATTCGAAAGCTGAGCTCGAAAGGCTTAGATACCAGTTTACTTCAAGACGACAAGCCTATTGCCTATGCATCAATAGCACTAACTCACTCAGCAAAGATATGCTTAAATAGAAAACGATACTTTCGCTATTGTTTTTGGATGCCAAAAATTCCATCATTATGTATACGAAAGACAAGTTGAAAGCGAACACAAGCAACTAAAGAATATGTTCAGTAAACCACTGAATGATGCACCACCACGAATACAAAGATTAGTATTAAAACATCAGGAGTATGACATTACAGTTAAATCTAAGCCAGGAAAATCTATGTATGTATCAGATACTATAAATAAACTGATATACAAATCAACAGGATTGAGTTCAATGCTCTTCTTCTTATATCACCTGAGAAACAGTTCAAAAAACATACAGAAACTGATGAAACAGTTGAAGAAAACGAGCGACGATGGATGGCCACAAAAAAAAGAGGAACTATCAAACGGAGTGAAACAGTATAGGCAGTTAAGAAATAACAAAACATGTATTTCTAATCTATTAAGGACTGAAGCTTATAATTCCACAAAACTTATGCAAAGAAATTGTGACACTTATTCATGAAAAACATATAAGAATAGTGAAATCCAAAACCAAAGCCGGAGAGTTAATTTATTTTAAATTTTTTTATGATTTTCTAATTCAAGGATGTTTTTATAATATTTTGTCCAAAAAAAACTTTCCCTTCTGAAGAGCTCGTTAATATGATGCTACTAGTTAATGTAGGTATCGTACTAGGATTGTCCGTTCTCCGCTAAAGAAAATGTCTTCGTTTGGGTTACAGTGACACCCTTAGGGTGACTGGTGTTAGAAATATAGTTCACCCAGTAGTATATATTAGAACATGATTTATGAAAACGTCGACATATGCGAGCGGACAAGAAGTTAAATCTGATGTCGCGATTGAAGAGTTTTCACGTCTTCTGAATGTTAACTGTAACAGCTTCATGGCATAATTTCTATTCCTACACTATATACATTTTATTCATATGTTCGCCCTTCATCCAGGACGAACCACTTTGCAGATTTTTCTTAAAAGAGAGACAAAAGATACCAAAGGGACATTCAAACTCATAAGTCGAAAATAAACGGAGTGAAACAGTATAGGCAGTTAAGAAATAACAAAACATATATTTCTAATCTATTAAGGACTGAAGCTTATAATTCCACAAAACTTACGCAAAGAAATTGTGACACTTATTCATGAAAAACATATAAGAATCGTGAAATCCAAAACCAAAGCCGGAGAGTTCATTTATTGGCCTGGCATGATGTCAGATATACAAGATATCGTAGAAAATGTGAAATACGCGCAGTAAACAACAAGAAAACTAACAAGGAACCCATGATTACAAGGAAATTTCCAGATAGACCTTCATCTAAGCTAGCAGATGACTTGTATCAATTCAAAGGAGAACTTGTCTCATTGTAATGTCTTGATAGTTGATTTACTATACATATTTTAAAGTAAAAATCAAAAATCGAGTCTACATCATCACCACTGTTGAAACCAACTTTTGTAGATGAGCAGAAAGTGAAACAAGTTGCTTTCTTTAAAAAAAGAAAAGCAATACGTGAACCCAAGCCCGCTGACTGGTCCGAGTACACAGTTATTTCGTAGTGCATTTCTTTTAGACAATAAATGAAAATTAAAAAAATCCCACCTGCGCTTTCTCAATAATATTTTTACAGTGTGTTGTACTACTTTTGGGACAAATTATATCAAAATTATAGAAAACTTCATCGGCTCTAACTCAAAATATGGACAATTTTATGTTAAGGGGGTCTTGAAATCTTTTGACAGCTTCCGAAGTGCTAATTTTTAACCCTTTTTCAGCTGGACCAAATCACTACTTTACTTTAAAATTCATGACCCAAATTTTTTTACAGTGTCATTTCACCCCCTTACTTGCTATTTGAGGCATAAAACATGGAGAAATAAATTTGGAAGGGGTATAAAAAAAATTGGCAAGTAACACACTGTCCACACTTAGGACTATATTCGTGGACAACGAAAATCAAAGGACGATAACTGCGTACTCGGACCTAATAGGATAGAAAAAGTTGACCAATCTTAATAAAACTTGGTATGACCAAAGCTTAATAAATTATAAGACTGCTTACAAAGTTTCATGACAATAGGATATATATTATAGACAATATGATTAATTCTATATTCAACTTTGTGTGTTAAATTAAGACGTTAAAATTGAAAAATTTCAACTATCAACATTTGGGGCTTTTAAAATTCAAATTTTGCAAAAAAATACTTTTAAAATGCCTTAATATATAATATATCATGTATTAAAAGCAATAGAGTACTCATTTGATATATCAGACTTAGCATAATTATTCAAAAGTCAAATCTATATGAGCCTGTGCCTAAAAATGGAGGTTTTCCAATGAAGGGGAGCCTTACATGAAGATGTAATATTTTCCAGCAATTTTAAATTTGTGAAGCTTTTTGGTTATAAATAATCCTTACATATGTATTTAATGTACTTTAAATGGAAAGAAAACTTACAAATAACATATCATATTAGTTTAAAAGGGTCTTAGGCCAAGTAAGACTGAAAATAATTTAGGGTCAATTTAGGCCGTAGCACATATTTACATTTAAAAATGCATATTGAAGCTATAGGAAATAAAAATTTGTGTCTTTTCTATCATTTCTATACTCAAGTGACATGATACAATAAATCTGAGCACAAAAAGACTCTTGCATTCAACTTTTTGTGCAGACAGTATGGTCTGATACAAAGATTTTTCACTTTTTAGTGAAAAACTTGCATGCAATTTTAGTCTCAACAGGCTTATATTTGAACCACATGCTATCCTACAGAAGAAAAGAAAGATATTATGTGAAATGAAACAGGTACAACAGACATTGTTAAGTTCTTTTTATACAAATTTAGTGAGATATTTATGATGGACTTCAACTTTTATGTACCAAGCTCCTCACATTTAACTTGATCCAAACAGGGCGTTAGACGAGGGTCATTTATACAACACATTTTGCACATATTGTCTGAGATAATCTTCTTTTCTGTAGATTCAAAGTTCACAAATGAGTAACACAACTGGATTAAAGCATAGAAACACAAATATTGACATATGAAAACCTGTCAGATAGAAAGTCAGAATGCCACTTATGCATCAAAATTGAAAAAGCTATGAAATGCTTATTTTGCCATATAATGCCAAAATTGGTCATTTTTGCAGAAATTCTATCAAATAAAAGTTTAAATCCTTTAGTTTTATGCTATTTAACAAATTGACACCATCAAATCATTCAGGGAAGTTGCCAAAGTACAGATTCTATATTTCCTGATTTGACCTCTTAGGATAGAAAAAGTTGACCAATCTTAATAAAACTTGGTATGACCAAAGCTTAATAAATTATAAGACTGCTTACAAAGTTTCATGGCAATAGGATATATATTATAGACAATATGATTAATTCTATATTCAACTTTGCGTGTTAAATTTAGACGTTAAAATTGAAAAATTTCAACTATCAACATTTGGGGCTTTTAAAATTCAAATTTTGCAAAAAAATACTTTTAAAATGCCTTAATATATAATATATCATGTATTAAAAGCAATAGAGTACTCATTTGATATATCAGACTTAGCATAATTATTCAAAAGTCAAATCTATATGAGCCTGTGCCTAAAAATGGAGGTTTTCCAATGAAGGGGAGCCTTACATGAAGATGTAATATTTTCCAGCAATTTTAAATTTGTGAAGCTTTTTGGTTATAAATAATCCTTACATATGTATTTAATGTACTTT